AACCGTCGTGCGATGTTGTTTGCAAATTTCGCTCTCGCGTCCACCGAAGATAATGTTCCCCATTTGATTCTCCGGTTGCTTCTGCCGTGATTAAGTCTTTGAAATCTTTTAAATCAAACTCATATACTTTGGACAGTTCTGAATAGCATATCGAACGTAAGAAAATATTTTTTCAGGCAGAGCCTTGCCTGCCAGCACTTTGGTGCAGAACTTGCAAGGAGACCAAATGCCCAATTTGACTAGGTGCATGGATGAAGAATATCACTTATCCCATTCGGTACAATGATCCTAATGCGAGGGTCGGCAAAAGATTAACCTGTTTTAGATAATATTGATCCAAAAATTTATTTTAGGGTTATTTGACAGCATTAAACATCTCAACCTCCACATCCTTCACAGTGACACGGCCGAAGCGTTTTAATGGCTGCGCATGAGGCCAAAAGTATTTCAAGTTAGACAAAACCTGCTTCAAAATTTGTGTACTGCAACACTTTCAGGTGAAAGTTATCCTGAAGAAATATCTCGAAAGAGAAATGTTATCAGCAGCTGCCGGCAAAAAATGCCTTCAGACTTTGCATGAAGCTGAACAACTGCGGCAAGGTTGCTAAAAGACCCTTCTATTTGTCCCGGCCTGCGAAAATTAATAACCTTTATCAACGCTGGCGACGAGCTAAGCAGGGTAACAGACTCAGAATGAGAATGTAGAAAATATTTTGTGACTCTTTCTTGTACATACTGGAACAGCAGAAGCTTGTCTTTGTTAGTAAGGGTCATAAACTCCAATTTAATGCAGAGCTATTTGCTGTGGTATGAGTTCCATATGTCAATTTTAATAAAAACTGTTGGATTTCTAGGCCAGTCCCGTCAAGAACCTGATTACAGGAGAGGAGTGGCGTTCATTGTTTCGACTGTTGTAGTTGATGCGCCACACTGCCCCATCGTAATATTGCTTGTTCATACAGAAGTAAGAGCATTGCCTCTGGGAGTAATAGCAACGAGGCGGATAACAACCAGACACTACTGATTGGGACTTCAAATGCTGCCCCAAATATCATCTGAAACACAGTCGCGGTTCGTCAGAGGTAGTTACACACTATTCCAGAGCTCTACGGGATGCACAATCAGAGGTATGTTCCCTCCTATTCTTTTTGTCTGCATCATTCTATGTGATTCATGTATTTTAGATGTTGCCAAATGCTAATCTCCGACTCTCATAATTGAGATACAAGCCACGCTGAGATGGCCTAAAAAGAGCACGGCATAAAATCTCAGAATCAGATGAAGCTGTTACACATTCAGTCACTGGTGTACTGTAGAACCACCGACAAGTAAACTGCTTTTTTTGTGGGGGTACTTTTAATGTCTGTGAATTTTAATATTACTCTGTACTCAAGATAAACAGCTGCTGTTATTTTCAGCGGTTACATCCGCTATATCTTAGCCGCTTAGTCATTTACTGGGAAAGTCGCGAAAAGCGGCATGTAACTCGATGACCTCCTAAGATTTGAGGACACCAAACGAATAAGTTTTGTAAAGATATGATACAAATTTTAAGGTAGCAATACAAACGCAGAGGAACAAGTTATCGTTTAATGTATTTATTTCTTCAAGATCAAGTGCCGAAGACAGAACGCCTTTAACATCAACGAACGGTTGGAAATCCCTTGTGAGCGGCTTGAGCCATATATCCAGCGACTCGTCTTACAGTTTGCTGCGAATCTCATTTCAGCTGCCCTACAGATCTGGAACGTACAGAAGAAGAGCATTAAGTAATCACATCGTCAGGTTAAATTCGTCAGTGTGAAGAACATATATTCGTCGCTCCAAGTAGTGTTGAATCAGGCCTCCCAAAATACTAAGTAAACATGGCTGCTGGCTATGTCAGTGCCCATTCGGTATGGATGGCAAAGCATACAAGCATCAATATGCCGTATATTCTTATTTTGGGATTCAGACTGCTTCGACAGTTCGTCAACAGTCCATCAGATGAGAGATTATTTGCCCTATTCAAACTTGAAGAAGCCTAATTGCCAGAAAAGTAATTTTATTTGCTATGGTGACTCCAACATGATGTTTGGCATCCGCTGACCAGTAAATTTCCAAACATAACTCTTTTATCCACTCACGATTTTAGCGGCTAACTGCCAAAGCACCTCTTCCCGATCAAGAGGATCGAAGCGAAGTTGTTCTTGGACCCACGTACAAGTAACGCCATATCGATAGGAGAGAGACGAGCAGGATCAAATCCTGCAAGAGTCGGAAGGCCACGTTCACTAAGTTGGTACTATTGCAATATATTTTCGGTGCAAGATTCATTCATTCATTCATCTTCAATCGCCGCTTTTCCTTTTGGGTCGCGGAGGCAGACGCGTCAGACAGAGCTTCCAACGTTTCCGATCCTGTGCCAGAGTCTGAGCTTGGGCAAAAGACAAATGGAGTCTGGAACAGACTCCTTCCATATATTTGCACCAGTTTAGTGCAAGATATAATTTACAATACAAGCCGTAGGCATGTGACCTGATTTTCTCCCTCTGTGTTCTGTACAGTCTACATCCAGTAATCTTGCTGTTCACATTGTCACAACTGCATTTAAATAAAAGTTTATTAAATTCACCATACATATGTGTACGTAATATCACATAACATGTAAAGCGTATATTTTTAACTTTAAAAGTAAGGTTTATCAATAAACAGAGCAAACATCATGGAAATTAAAGATAGAAGCATAAAGGAGAGAAAGATCCAATTCAAGCATGCTTGCGAATAAAGCACTGAATAACGAGCGACCGTGAAGGACGGTGCGAACAGCAAACAACAGTATGATAAACCACACCCCTATGATAAATATACCGATGATGAAAAGCAGCACGTTCAGAAAACAAACGACGGGATAGAAATGCCTGCAAACAGTATGCAAATAAATATAATGAAAAGAAATTATGAATAGGAACTTCTCATAAGAAAGTACGGAAAGAGATGAGAAATAGAACAACACATTATCACTATGAAGAGGTCCCCAAGAATATCTGGGTTATATTGTGTACAGACTGTCACACTGCCGTAACAAGAAAACTTCACTGATTTAAGTCGGAACATAATGGAAAGCATTGCAAAGAGTATAATTTACGGATGAAAAGAAACTGACTACATTAAAGAACGGCAGAGTCAAAAACATCTTCACGAGACAGCAGTTGCACCGAACAAGTAGCAAAGGAAAAAATGTGGACAGAAAAACAAGACCAGGTGATACAACAAAGGCTGCAACATGTGTAAAACAAGAAATTATTTTCGGCAAAGAGCAGAAGATGCGAAGGGACATCGGTGACCGCACAAAACCAGCAAGCGTGAAAAAAAACAAACAGCAAAAGAATAAGAGTAAAGAATATAACACATGGCGGAAAGAGTTAACGAAAAAAAACTTAGGGAGAGGATTAAAAAGCAAGGCAACGTCACAAACGTAGCAAAAGAGTACTTACAGATATCGACTGAGACGCGGAGCACAAACAAGAAAGCATGCAAAATGGAACGCGTCTTAGGTGGGGCTAGCAACCGCTTACTCTGTAGATCGAAGTGATCGGATAAAGCATGATAAGACAGCAGCTGCAGTAAACAACAGTGATCACGAAACATGGAAAGTAAATAAATGGCGTCAAGAACGTAGGTACAAGAAACTAAGTTACTAAAATAAGTGACGAGAGGAAACTCAAAGAAATACGCTTGGAAAGAGATTAAGAAATGCAAGATCGTGCAAAAACACGTACACTGCAATACTCACTTTAAAGTTCGAACGTGAACAATAATGAGACAGAATAAAAGCAAAATACACAACGTATGGACAACAGGCAACCTCTTACAGTGAAGAACAGAACATAAGATGGCGGCCGCAAGGAACAAGAGTAAGACCGTCATACGACTACTTATGTAGTCATAAAGTTTACAGTTCGGACGCAAAGAATTAAATGGAAAAAAAGGCAAAACCACAACCTACGGACAGCGATGGACTCTGCTGGAATTGAACCCGGCACTTCTGGAGTCGAATCAAAAACAAACAGGATAGCGGAAAGAGAAAAGACGAAGGATCAGCAAGGGAAAACAAGCGTGAAACAATGGGAAACCAATTCAAAAATACAACACAGCCGAAAGCATGAGAAGCATAATGAAATAATCCTAAATGCATACGAAAACAGACTACTTATCACACTGAATGGCACCCTTGGAATTGGAATCGCCAATGGGAGAGAATCTGCAACACCGGCGCTGAAACGAGGCGTCACTGATTACGTAAACTTTACTGACCGATTTACATTTGCTGTTTCTGATGGTCAATATTGGCACTGACGTTCGCGTATTGTTCTCGTGGTATTGTGGGAAAAGAGTAAAACGTTGCTGAAATATAACTGTACCTGAACACTCGGTACGGTGGCGCGCACTGGATGCTTTCAGTTATATTCGGTTGCTTAGGACGAAGATTCATTTTTTGGCGTAAAGCCGTAAGCTAAGCATACTATGTAATAAAATAGTGGTTGTAGTGGTTGTCTCGTGTGTGATAATCATCACGTAGAGTAATTATAATTATTGATCTTTTTCGCGTTACGCTGGCCTTTGGTTCCGTTCCTGTTTTTAGCGCCTTGTCCTTTATTTAATCAAACGAAGGTACCAGTAGAAGCAGTACGTTTTATGGTTAACACGCAGAAACGGCGAGGGAAAAAATGAAATTAGGTTACCTTTACGAATTGTTTTTCACCGATCTGCATTCTGTAATGCGAGAATTCGTCCAGAACAAGTGAACAGATTTGGATTCGGTTTTCTTTTGCGGAAGGGTCATACGTTTGTTTCGTGGTTTAAGAATAACATGCGTGGTAACATTGAAAGTGTCAACGTAATTTCGTGTGCTTGATTATGCTGTCAGAGATTCAGAAGTTGACCCACTAATGAATGAGAAAACCTTTTGTGATATCGTGCGGTGCAGTTTAT